TCGGAGTAGTCGACATAGAGTCACCATTTACCATTGTTTTTATGAACCAGAACCACATTCGATAGCCATCTGGGGTGTCTATTTCAAAAGCAATAAGGTTATTGCATTCCGGGTGAAAAATGCACTGCTTCTGGCAGATAGGTTGGAAATGGGACTCAATACTGAGATGGTGGCTAATGAAGGAGGGATCAATACCCGGTATATCGGAGTGAGTCCAGGAAAACACGTCGTTGTGTTCAACTAGGAGGGCGGTGAGGTCGGCCTTGGCTTGGGGGGATAGTTAGCTGCCGTTCTTGGCGGTTTTGGCCGGGTTAGTGGGGTCGACGAGGACCTCGACGAGCTCCTCCACTGGTTCCCCTCTGACCAGCTCGTCCTCATCTCTAACATCGAGTCCTTCAATGATCATAGCCTCCTTCAGCTTGACTTCTTTAAGTGAGACGACATAACATTCTCTGGCCACGGTTTGCTCTCCCCTCACTGTTCCGACCCCAAGATCGGTGGGGAACTTGATGGCAAGGTGGTAAGTGGATGTGATAGCTTGGAAAGCATTTAGGGCAGTGCGGCCAAGGATGATGTTGTAGGCAGAGGGGCAGTCAACAACGAGGAAGGTGAACAACTTTGTGGTCTGCCGCAGGTACTCGCCAATTGTGATAGGAAGATCGATGGAGCTGATGGACGTTACCCGATCGCCAGTAAAACTGACCAAAGGGGTTTGGAGGAGAGACAGACTTTCTTCTCCAATCTTGAGCTGGCGGAAGCAATTGAGGAAGATGATGTCTGAAGAACTGCCGTTGTCGACGAAAACCCGTCTGACCTTGTAATTGGAGAGGATGGCGGAAATGAAGAGAGGGTCGTCATGAGGATAACGGATGCCTGTGCAGTCGGCGTCCGTAAAGGTGATAGGCTCGGTCGACTTCCTGGGGTGTTTGGGGGGTCGGTCCAACGTGACAACTTCTTTGTCTTAGCCTTGCCTTATTTTTCTTAGTTCTGCCCGCTAAGCCGACCGGGATGGTCCTCCACAAGCAAGCTCGCCGGAGATAACTCTGCTTTCTCCAACAGGCGGGGCGGGGTTACCTTGTGCCCGAGGTTGCTGTGGAGGGCGATCATGACCTTGGTTAGGCCGTGTTGGTTGTCGGGGAGGGGTGCGCCGGCGGTTGTTTCTGATGGATTCAGTCTGCTGCCTCTGCTGAGGGCGAGTATCCGTGAATCGGCTGAGGCATCCTTAACGAATCAGGCCCTTGACCTGATCTTTGAGGTTAACACACTTCTCGGTATTATGGTCGTGATCCTGGTGAAAACGACAATATTTGGACTGGTTTTTTCGATTAGAAGGAGCCCGTGATGGTTGGGCCATTTTAAGGGGTAGTCCCGCTGGATCTGATGGAGGACTTGTTCCATGGGGGAGTTTAGGGAGGTGCACCGCTCGAACCGGCCGGGCGGTCTGGCTGGGGCCAACCGGTCGGTTCTGGGGGGTCAGTCAGTGTACTGAGATGTTTGATTATTGTACTAGGTATTTTTGGTTTCTGAATCTTTTCTCTTTTCTCTGGGGGTCGGGTTTTTGGTTATAGGATCTTGCCGGGCGACTAGAGAATCTTAAGCATTCATGTATTTTTGGGCTTTGGAGAGTAGGGCTGCCATGGAGGTCGGGGGGTTTTTAGAGAGGGAGAAAAGGAAGTCAGATGATTGCAGACTGGCCATGAAAGCGGTAGGGATGACCTTGTCATCGTTTTCCACTACTTGCAGGGCTTCGGTGTTGAAGCGGGTAATGAAACTGTGTAACGACTCCCCCTCGGTCTGACAGATGTTGAGGAGTTGGGTTGCCGGACGCTGCTAGCGCTGGGCTCTAATGAAATGGCTGAGGAAAGAGTCACTAAGGTGTTGGAAAGTGGAGACAAAGTCTGCTGGCAGTTGACTAAACCAAAGTCGAGCTGACCCCTTGAGTGTCACGGGGAAAACCTGGCACATGATTTCGTCAGGGAAAGCATGGAGGATCATGAGAGTCCTGTAGGTCTCCAAGTGGTCGACTGGGTCTGTCGTAGCATCAAAAGAGTCGATGGTGGGCATTTTGAACTTGGGGGGTAGAGGTTTGTCCCGAATAGAGGCAACGAATGGCGAGTTAGCTGTGGTAGAGGGTTTATGCTGGATGTTCTGCATGGCCCCTTGGAGTTAGAACTTCATGGCTCGGAGTTCTACGTCCCAGAGAAAAATGTTGTCACCACCGGAGGGCAGCGGGGGCTGGACGGTACTGGCCTCTCCTTCAGGGATTGGTGCCAGGACCGATAGATGTGGGGCTTAGGGTGGTGGATTTATATTTGGGGGAGGAGGGTGCAAGCCTTCCAAGTTGGGTGGATAAGGCTACTGGATAGTATGGCTTGGGGCTCGTTCTTGGTTGGGTGGAATATCTGAAGGTGGTGGAAGGGGCATGGGAAGGTCTCGTTGGAGCAGGGCATTGATTAGAGCTTGGTTCTGCTCGGCAAGGCAGTTAATGCTGTTGGTGAGCTCGGTAAAGTATTGTGGTGGGTTGTTTGGATTAGGAGGGTCGGCTTGGTGGTCAGGAACATTGGGGTGGGAAGCCATGGATCTAGTCGTGACCATTCACCTTCGTAGGTGACAGGAAGGGGTTATTGGGAAAGGGCCTCCGGCGACAATAAGCACAACTGGCGCACAGAGTAAGAAAGGTCCCATAGATGACGGCAACTGATGGTACAGTTCATTCCAATGAATCAGGTCAGACTGATCCACGCTCCTCACGCCTATGTCTGAATGACCAAGACCACCGAAAGACGTCAGGGAAAACAGCTCTGTCCAGCGACCGGTCTACTACATCAGTCGGGCTCTTCGGGGAGCGGAACAAAACTACCCATTGTTAGAAAAAATATCCTTGGCCTTGGTCACTGCCTCTAGACGACTCTATTCTTACTTCCAAGCCCATTCCATAGTGGTCCTCACTGACCAACCATTGAAGAAGATAATGCAACAACCAGAGCTTTCCGGCAGGCTTATGCAATGGTCGGTCGAACTCAGTCAGTTTGATATCTCCTATCGGTCTCGGACAACAATTAAGGGACAGGCTGTTGTTGACTTCATCTTGGAATTCACTAACCTCCACCCCTTTATTGAACTGATGGTACAGTTCGTTCCAATGAACCGGGTCGGACTGATCCACGCTCCTCACGCCTATGTCCGAATGACCAAGACCATTGGAAGGCCTGCACACGAGTTCAACGGGGAACGGGGAGTCCCCCAACGAACCCTCTGACGAGCAAGTTAGAAAGGGGAGTAGAGTATATAGCGAGATTAGAGATAGAAAGCTTACCCTTCTTCTTGTCTTCAACGTCTGCTTATATCTTCTGGTAATCATTTCGTTGTCCCTTCCGACCTGTCACCTTGGCCGAAAGTCTATGCTGTAGCTTACCTTGTTCAGGGTGAAGGCGTGCTGTCCCGACGGAGAGGGGTTATCGCAATAAATGCTGTAAGGGGCCTCATTAATGGCGATGTGGCGTAGCAATAACTTTGCAGATCTTTGTCTGCTGATATGGCTTACCCTTCTCTTGCCATGTGTCTTGATGCCATTGGTTCTTTTTGCTATGTGGGGCTTCAGCGGTGCTGGGTTTCATTAATTGGATTATGTATTGGGTCCTAAGTGGTGGGCTTGGGTTGTTCATAGTGGGCTTGGGTTGTTCACAGTGGGCTGTAGCCTTTATGAGTCTACCCATGTCACCCTCAAATTTTGTAATTCTTGTCATTTTGGCCAAAATATTTAAATTGTATCAATTTAGTTTTCAATATATAAAAAGTATTTCAATTAGATTTCTCGACCCGGTTCCATCTTCCTCGTGTAAATTAGGAGTAAAATGTGAAAATTATATATGGATTTCGGCAATTTTTTTTGAAAAAAAGAAAGGCAATTTTTTTTGAAAAAAAGAAAAGAAAAAGAAGAGACATGTATAGAGTATCATCGCTAATAGTAATAACTTTCGACTTTCGCACCTACTTGTGATAACTTTTAGCAACAACTGTTGACTCTCGCCCCAACATGTAACAACCTTTGGCAACAACACTTAAGCGAAGAAATATTGTGTTTTGGCAATGATTTTTTTCACCATGAAAAACACTTTTGCTTGTCTTGCTCCCATCCAATATGTTTGAGGAGATTTCATTTTACACTCCAAACTATATTTCTCTCAAAAATCAATTAGACCATTATTTTTGTAATTACATCAGTTTAATACCTAGAAACTATTTGAATTGAAATAAATTCTGATATACAATTAGACTTGGCCCCATAAACTTTTCATTGGAGGAAAAATGAAGTGTTTTCATCTCCATTACATCTTTCAAGAGTTGTGAAAAAATTACGTTGCCTATCGTAATGACTTTTCTTAATTTGAAATGAAAATAAGTTCATATGACTATTTAATAACTATTACATGATATAATGGCGATCCGTTATTACATTCAGGTACTCTAATAGTGTGTTTGGTTGGGGAATTTGGATAGTGATTTAGAAAGGGAAAGGGAAAAGGTGTGTGAAACTAGGTGAAATATAGGCATGTTTTATTCACATTTCACCTACCTTTTCCATTTATTTTTCCAAATCTCTCTCAAAATCCTCCAACCAAACACAACATTAAGGATCTGAAAACATGGTGGGTTGATCCCCTCAACTAGGCTGCAAAATCTCAATAATTTTTTATTATCCAAATCAGTCATCTTGAGGTTAGTCAATTGGGCTTTCAGTCCCAAACCAAGTCACCCAGTACATTCAATTGGGACTGTTTTGAAGTAGACACATGATCTGAAATTTGATTCATGACCATTCTCAATCCCACCAAGGATGTTCAACAACCCATGATTTGTCCCACTCAGAAACAGAGTACCTTGTGCATTGGACATGCATATACTTCTTGCCTCTATAGGTGTCTTCAATTTCCTTTGCCATACTCACATGAAAGACACATACAACTAAAAACACAGCACACTGAATTTAAGGCAAAAAGGAAAAAGAAAGGAAATCAAAAGTAACTTTGTAATCCTCTATTAAGCTGTGCAGAGAGATACCAACAAAAAAAACTCAAGCAGAAAAAAAAGGTTACAGCACATTTTGATCATATATTAGTAAAGATTCCCCATCTTTGTCATAGTGCTCTATGTTCTTGTCTTTGTCTCGAAATAATATTAAAAATGTGTCCTGAGGAAAGTGAAAATTTGCCGAATTTGAAGCTTTTCTTTGCTTTTCGCTGTCTCAATATTCCATCTTCTTTGTCGTCATGGAAGCTCGGTTTGTTTTTGCTTTCTTTTTGTGCTTCCACTATCGTTTGTCGCAATATTCTTAATGAAAGAAAGCCGGTTATTTCTAAAGCATGAGATCATTTGAGTCGTGTCCCAATACACTCTTAGTCTCAACTGTACGATCGCATTTTGAAATTTCTAGTATCATTTTTATCACATTGTGCGACTAGGAGTGCTAGAATTATCTTCTGTTTCTTTTCTCTCTTATTTAGAGCCAGCATTGCTTGTCACCACTACACATTCATAGCACTGTCATCCCCACTAATTTTGCCCATGGAAAGTGTGAAGTAAATCAGTAATATAGTTCCCATGCTTGACCTGTCAGAAACAAGAAGTGAATCCAGAACTTCCCATCAGAATCACAATTGTTTCAACCATTTATAGTGTTAACAGCAATCCATATAAGAGCTTCTGGACCAATAAGACTACTTGTTACGTGGTTATTTGGGCACGAGAAAAGGTCAACAATGCTACATGTATAGAATTAAAATATAGAAAAATATATAAAACGTCTGTGATTTAGATTGATTTTAAATATAATCCAAATAATACGCAAAATATATCTCAGCCACACATTATATTTTCTGTGCATTTTCATTGTTTTAAATTTGTGCAGCTATCATTTCTAAAGAAAAGGTCAGTCATACCCTTCTTTTTTTTGTGTGGCCTCGTTGATCGGGAGCACTTTGTGTAGATGTCACTTAATTAGTAAAGAAGTATGTTGCGTGTCAAAATAGTTGCTTATATAAAAATATTTCCAACGAAAATTGAACTATGTTTTTAGTATATCGAAAAAAAATGGAAAAAAAAAAATTGGTAAAAAAATTGGCCAAAAATTGAACTATTTGGCCTAGGTTATCATAGAGACCTGCGTAAAGTAGTCACAAATTCAAATCATGTGCAAATTAATTCATGGACTAAAATCATAAAAATGTAGTAGGGTAGCAAACTTACAAGGTGGCAAACAAGAAAACGATCCTCCTAGGATCAACGGCCCAGGAGTAAGGAGAGCGCCGGAAACTGAATCTCTTGCCGCTGCCTCTGCTTTCAGTAGTGGTGGCACCGATGTTTCCAGTCATGATAGTGATCTGATGATGGAAGTGTGGGGTCTTAGGTTGATCTGTACTAGTCCCCACTGTAACCACCATGGGCTTTTCAGGCGTGCTAGCCCCAGTTAAAGTAGCTGCATTTAATAAATACTAGGTAAGTCAATATACATAGCATATGTGACCTTGCCATCATCTGTCCTACAATCCAAGGGCATGTCCTCCCTAGTTTGGAGTACAGTAACAAAAGTGAATCACATTTTGTTGTGTCCCTTTTCATATCAGAGGGCACTAAGGTTTCAAATCTATGTCATTTATTGTCTGATGGTCGACATTGTACAGCCGGAATAATCATACAATAAAGTGTGCGACAATGTCATAAAACAATTATTCAGTACAATATGCAACAATGCCTGGAAATTATCCATTTGCGCAGGTCGTGTGAGCTCTCACAAACAGATGATGAATATTGACTTTGCAACGTTGGTGCATATTGTACTGAATAATTTGTCCTCATACATAGCCATATTTTGAAGACTCTAATGATTATACAACCTAATTATTTGCCATAAGTTTTGTGTTGACTTTTAAATATTTGCATTGTGTATCCAACCTAATATTCATCAACCAACATCTACCCTACCTACTTCATCCCAAATTTGTTGTCTCCTCATCAATGTTTTTTTTTTTTTTTTTTTTTTTAAAGCCATATCCTACCTGTCTGATGGTTTGAAAAAATAAAAATAAGTAATGATTACTAATATTAAAATGCGAGTAATCTGCATGTCTCGATAAAACTAATACGTAAATTAATTAATTCATGAATATTAATCACATCCAATCAGACTTCTCAATAAACTTGCTGACAAACAAATTGATTTAGTCACCGATCTTGATGCGTGCTAGATTCATGTTGGTATACATATAATACAAAATTTTGAAACTACAAGTGGCACGTATTTTTGCATTAGCTAATCTCAATTAATATTATATTTTCATATCTGAACTAATAGTCACATTTTTTATCATATGAAATTAGATGGTTGAGCATAATTAAATGACATAAGCTTTAAGAGAGACTGTCCCTTGCTTTGTTAATTCCTCTCTCTAAATGATCGTGAATTTAAATATAGAAATGAGATTGCTTTATTTATTTATTTATTTTGTGTGTAGTGGAAGTAATATTTACCTCTAGGTGAAGACGTAGAGACAACGCCATTGTCATTTTCATTGCCAATACTTGGATTAATCTTCTTCTCACTGCCTCGCTGTTGCGACAACTTTCTTGAAAGGTTTCTCTGCAACTTTTTACCCAAATCCAAAGACAATACAAATATTAACATATTACAAGTTGCTGCATGCACGTAATACATCAAATTAAGTAGCTTCTAGTTATATAAGTTCAGTGCAAATTTGAATGGGAGTATTTTACAATTTTCCCTTAAAAGTTGGGGGAAATTTCACTTCATTCAGGAGTAGTTTTGACGAATAATTATAAATAAGTACCTATGAAGTATGAATATTTCGAAAAACACGTCGTATCCATACCAAATACTTGCCAACATATAGTATCACGTATAGTATTTCTACATACGTACCGGGTACACGAAACACATACTTAAATTTTTTTTTCTTAATTTTTGATATACTTAGACATATCTAGTTTATACTCAAGATATACCGTATCTCAATTAAAACAATATTTTTTCTACTATAGGAATAAAACTCATTTCACTAGACTTCTTTTTTATTTTTTAATTTTATTCTTAGCATGAATTTAAAATTAAACTATGGTTTGTAAGTCATTTAATATATTGAAATTTAATTTTGATTTTATAATTTTACTTTTAATATTAAATATTATAATTGTAGGTTGGATCTTAACAAATTAAACAGTTTAATTAATTTTTACACTACTCTAAACTAAAAATTAATATTTTTTTATAAGTGTACCAAATTGTACCCGTACCATATTTTTTTTAGATTTCACCGTATCAATGTACACGTATCATACTAATACTAATATTCATACCCGTACCCGTGTTTCATAGATAAGTAGTAAGTTTTATAAATATTGATAATTAAAAACATAAATTTTTTCATAATAAGTTTTTGGGTAAATGTTTGTAATTTTTCCTAAAGTTATAACCAAACAAAAGATTAAAAATTTTCAATTTACCACTCACACCAAATTAACTTGTTTTTATAAAGTATAATATATATATATATATACATATATATTTCAAAAAACATTCAATTATTCAATTTTAAGAATTTTAGGCAAATTTGAGAGAATGAAAAGCAAGAATTCAAATTTAAATGAAATTAATCTTCATTAGATAATGAGATGTTTTGAAAACATGTAAAAACTGATCTTTTGACTTTTTTTAAAAAAAAAATTTCACTGTTTTATGTTTAAAAATGATGTGATTCTAAATGAATTAAAAGTTGATTTTGAATTTTTTAGTGTATTGTCAAAACAATCCAATGTAAAGCCTGCAAAGGCCCAATAAATGGTAATGACGTGTTATCTCAGAAACCTCATTAAGCTTAATATTTAATGGGTAATCAATCTTTCGTGGAAGAGGAAAAAAAAAAGAGAAATTCAGATGAATTTGAACCAAAACAGAGCATAGGTGATTACAATCAACAGAACAGAGCATAATTAAAGAAACAAACCAAAACAAAAATATGATCAAATTAAAATAATAATAAATAAATAAATAAAAACTTACTGTGAATCTTGAATTTGCAGTTATGTCTTTATCGGTGAGATGAGACAAGCGTTCCATGTCCACTACGAAGCTATCAGATTTGAAATTCGTGAACTGTAAGCTGTTTGTTTGCTCAGAAACAGAGATTTTCTGGGTTCCCATGTCCGCCTGAGAAAAAATTTAAACAGAAATAAAAATTTAGTTTTTTCGGTTTAAAAAATCTGTATAACTCAGAACCCAATGAAACAGTCAAAGAAAAATCTAAGAACAATAAAACAAGAAACCCATAAAACCCATAAAACCGATGCTCACCAACTTTGGATTTTCCGCCATTTTGAATCACTTTCTGGACGAGAGGGAAACAGAGAGAAAGTGCAAGAGAGAGAGAGGGAAAGTCAGTTTCTCAACAGCTTGCGTACCGAATTGGGCAATCACTACCCACCACCTGATTATATCTCAATTAGTCAATTTGATGAATAATGAAATTGATTTCACAATAGAGATAGAACCAACTCTCGTGAATGATAATAATAAAAAAAAGAAAAAGCTTGACAGACCTTACTACACCAGACAATGCCCTCTTGTTTCTTCCTAGATTCCCAAAACCAAGACAATTGATAGATATATGTATGAATTGTTGGTGAACTAATTAGTAACTATTTCTTTATTTGGGTGTGTGAGAGACTGCAAATTTTGTTGAAGTGGGAGAGAAAGAAAGATGGGAAAATTCTAGGAGGATTAGAGAGAGAGACAGAGAGAGAGAGAGAGAGAGAGAGACAGAATTTGTGATGTTTTCATGTACTCGGTGGTGTTTATATTAGGTGATGGCATACATTTCTGTGTAGTAACGCTTTTACAATTAATTGCATTATTTATTTATTATTTTTTATCACAAAAATCCCAACTGACTTATTTGTCATCTCATACAAATTTAAAGGATTTTTTTTATTTAAAAAAAAAATCATTTCTAGGCGTATGGCCTTAGGCTTAAGGATTGTTTTTGTTTTTTATTTTTTATTTTTTTGTTATAAAGACATTTTTAATTAAATTATTTAGTGAGAAGAATAAATTATTATTTTGAAAAATATGTTTTTATTTTTGTTTTTACCATTGTCATTTGATCGTCGCTAGACTATCGAGCTTGTCACTATAAAAGTTGCCACCTCTAGAAAAGGTGTTGGAAAAGTCATTAAAAAAGTCGTTCGAGGAGATAGCCAGCAATGGTTGGTAGTGGTAATTGGCGATGGTTGGCAGTGGTAATGATGGTGATATAGACAAACATGTAGATTAGGTGGACATATAGATATATGAATAGGTAAAATGTTGACAGATAAGTGACACTAAATAGATAGGTCACGTAGACAAATAGGTAAAACATTAGAAAAGTAGACAAATATGTAGCAACAGTATAGTTTTTTAAATTGTCTTTTTTACCCTAGAATATTAGAGGCTGTGGCTATTCCTCTCAGAAATTTTAAAATTAGATTTATGCTTGAGTGGCCAAATTTTATAAATAAATTTTAAATAAGAATAATTATACATAAATCATACGTATATGTTATGTCCAAATATTTTGCACTTTGTAAACATCGAACAACGATCTAAAAATTACAATCTTCTTATGGATTTTTATGAGATTGAAAATATATATTAATATTATTGGGCGGTCAATAAACAAACAAAAGACAAGAAAAAAAAATAGAATAACTTTTATACATCGTAAAATACTTCTACATATTTATTTACATTTTAAAATCAATTTCAATACATTTTTTTTTAAGAATAATTACATTTCAGTGGGATTTTAGAAAAATAATTGCATATTCATTACAAAGTTTATAAATTTAATTATTAATAGTTATAAATTTTTTCATTAATTTTTAATTATTTTTTTTAAAAAAATTATACTGATTTGATATTTTCCCCCCTTTTTTATCCATTTCAATACATCCTATAAACAATTGTTAGCATTTTTTATAATATTTATTCAAAATTTATAAATTTATGACTACAACCTTTCTTTTTACAGGAGTTGATCCTAGAGAGGGGTTAATGAAAAGATTAAAAAGGGCTATGAAAGTAATGTTATGGGACATAATTTGTGCTCGTCCGCTTTACCACGATTCACTTCATTAAAAAGACATTTAAAGGAGATAAAACTAAGAAATTGTCATGAAAGACATTTAAAGGAGATTAAATTGAGACATTAAAAAGACATTTTACAAATATTTTATGTTTTAAGAAATTTATATGCTTGAAATATTAGTTATTTCTCTTCGGCATCATTTGATGGGGGCTTGCAATGAGAATCATAAGAAAATAATTTTGTGACAATCACTTCAAAGTTTTTGAATTTTAAATTTGTGAAGAAAAAATTTCGCTTCTATTTTATTTTAATTTTTTTTTCTTACACACTCAAAATCTAAAAACAATCAGTTTACCATATATATATATATATATATATATTATTTTCTCTCTTACATTCTCTTTACTAGAATCATGGTGTTAATTAATGGTTGGTATTAGGTTCTCTAGTTTGCCACGTGCAATGGGTGGTTTCTGGTGGATTGTAGTGAGTTGTATTTTTTTTTTGATACAGTGATATTATGTGCACCAATTAATATATGAATTAATATATCAACATATCTTATGATACTGTCATTTAAATTATGATATTGTCATATCTTATAATAATATCTAGGTTTAGGACATAAGTAGATGAGTTGGGAGTGACGGTGGTGGTGATAATGAAGGATTAAGAGTGGTGGTAATAGCAGCGAAGGGGGGATGGGTGGATGGAAGAAAAATTAGAGTTTTAAAATTGAAGATAGGGATATTGTTGGAATAAAAAGATGAATAAAGCTTCGGACCCCCAGTGGGGGTGCTGGGGGTCCCTTCCCATTGGTCAAAAAAACAGTTTTTTTTTTTTTTTTTGGTTTTCAGCCAACCCCAGGCCGACACGTGACATTAGAGGGGAGGTCACTAGGGGTCACCCCCACTGGGGGTCTGTAGCATTGCTCAATAAAATATATATTTTTCGAACTGAGATTAAATAATATTAGTATAAATTCTATAGAATAATCAAAAATCTGGGTTGTTACAGTTTATGTAAATGAATGTTATTATTTTATTTTTGCTGTAAATTCTATTTATGTTTTTGTTTCTTTTTCTTTTTTCTACAATCTGTATTTTTTTCTTTCTTTCTTTTTTGGCTAATAATGTGTCTTTTAATTGAGATTTCATTCTATCTTTGAAGTGCTACAATTAATTTGTGACTCTTTCACTTATTGACTATTTGTGTTTAATTATTTTGGGTGCAGATGTTATATTGGAAGCGAAGAGATCATCAAAATTTATTTGGATATGGATTTATGTTTTAAATTTAATCATCAATTATATTTGGTTGTTGATTGCCATAATTGACGAACAAAATTTTATAACTTAAAAGCAACTTAAAGCTGCTTTTAGCTTAAATTAAGTTATTTTGATGTGTTTAGTAAAATTTAAAGAGATAGATTATAACTTTTATTAAGCCATTTTCAACTTAAATTTCTAAGCACCTCAGGGGTGTGATATTCTAAAGTTTCAAACTTTCTTTCATGTGATGAGGCATGCAGTAATTGTAATACTTTTTTAAGTCATTGACTGTAATATTTTCTCTTTTTTTTTTTTTTGAGGAAGTGCACAAGTTGAACTATGTTAAAAATTTATAAAATTCAAAACCGCCAAACCGATTCGCATCCATCCGCCAAACCGCTAATCTGCTCAATCCACATCCGCCAGATTGGCGGACGGATGCGGTTTGATTTTTTCCAATCCGCCAATCTGGCGGACGGATGGCGGATTGAAGGTTTCGTGGCCGCAACCGACCCGCGCCCACCCCTAGCGTCTGTAGCATTGCTGTAAAAAGATTGTGTTGTGAATTTTTATTTTTTTGATATGTACTAGAAAGGTGTTCATTGAGTGTGTGCACTGAGAAAAGTTGATATGTGAAAATAGAATTATCCAAATTATGTACTTACTAAAATTTATAAGTAGGGAAAGTGTTTCAACCCAAAAATCCATGGGGTTAAAATGTATTAATCCAAAAATTTAAATTAAAAAAGAAAAAAGAAGAGAGAGAGAGAGAGAGAGAGAACAAGTGGAAGAAAAAAAAAAAGAAATAGCGTAGGGAGAGGGGGGAAGTCAGCTCGCGCACCGAAATGGGCAATCACCATCCACCATCTGATCCATTGACGTACACACAAAACACATCTCATCTTTCGTCAATTTGTCAATTTCAAGAATAAATTATAATCAATTCCACAATACCCCAACTCCCCTTAATTATAATGAAGAAAAACTCTTTTGAACTGTTTTTGAGAAGAAGTAGGTGCCTAAGACTTTTTAAAAGGGTAATTTATAATGGGGTCTTTTGAAATTTTAAGAAAAATATAACAAAATTTTTATAATTTTAATATAATTATCTTATATATTTTTTTAAAAAAAATTAATTATATAAATAAAAAATTAATATTGTATGTTGTTTATTTTTATGTCTTTATATTATTTGTATTAGTTCTAATTTTTTAGTTTTATAAAAAGAGATATCAATATGATTATATCAAAATTATAAAAACTTATTATATTTTATTTTAATTTTAAGAAATATCAATATAATTTATTATTTTTAAAAATAGTGAGTAAATATCAAAATGAGATTATATAACTTTTATTGTGTATAACTTTTATCAAAAGTAGACTTTAGAAGTAAAATGAAAAAAATTTGAAATATAAAAGGTCAAAGTTAAAAAATAAATAAATAAATAACTGTTAGTTAAAATAAAAATAATGATCAAATATTATAATAATAATAATAAATAAATAAATAAATAAACTTTAATTGAGAAATTAAGTGTCCTGATCACAACGTTATAATCGGAGACAATTCTTCATTCTTATTCACCAAAACACAAGTCAATAGGTACATGTCATGTATGTAAGTATGAATTGTTAACTGCTTTTTGGTTTGGGTGAGTGTGAGAAACGGCAAATTTCGTTGGAGAGCGAGAGAAAATATAGATTCCAAAGATAACTATCCTTCTCATCATGTGTCTTAATTTTGCCCGGTCAAAAGAGAGACCCAAATATCTACGAGAATTAAAAGGGCTAGATTTTTCTACACTCTGCATTTGAACAGGTCTAATGATGTACACAGTTTAGTGCATTAGGTTTCGTATAGATTATTTTTATTTTATCGTATTTATTAAAAAAAATAAATGATGATTTATTCTAAAATATTTGACTCCTTTCCAGTTCGTTATCGGGTTGGACGGTGCTATTGGATTGTTGTGGGCATTGATTTGGTACCGTGTCGATGATTAAAACCAATTAATGTGTGTAAAATTCGTTGAGTATATTATTCTTATAAAAAATAACGTTGGTCGGATATCGATAGATATTTTATTATATCACATTTCTGCAATGACATGTATAATTTTTAAAATAAATTGTGAAAGAAATGTAATTTGATTAAGTGACTATTAATATTTAATTATCGTGATTTTTTGTAGGGATGAAATACTCGACGGGTTTTATATAGTGAACGGTGTGGATTATTGAGATGCGTCCAAATTAGGGCCCAAAATAGCCTAACAATACTCTCTAATCCAATGGTGAACTGGAGAGGAGCCAAATCTCATTTTAAAAAACACCGTTGTCATTAAGTGTTTTAGACAAACGTGATAAATTTAGCATATTATGATTATAAAATCGATATATTTTTTCATAAAGATAATATACACAAAGAGACTTACAA